TAACTTCTTAATTTAAATTTTATTTATTTGGATACATTGGCCAAATTACCGAATTTATTGTTTCATGCATGACAGCTATGGTACGAAAATATCTAATTGTATTTACTATTTACTATGGTCCTTTTTATTTCTCGCTTGATTTTGTGAAATAATCGTCATTTAAAGATATAATGCTCCATTTTTCATGTTCGGATTTTGTCCAATTATGATAAACTCGAATATTGTCACTTAATGGAATTCACAGTTCTTACTCTGCTTATTTGTCCAGTCATCTCCGAATAGTCTGTCATTTGCTCCTGGAGGCTCCTTGCTGGCTCTCCTCGAGCGACGAGATCTCCGTGATCATATAAGTTTATTCGAGTGCAATGAGACCAGTTGGCGCCTTTTGCGTAATTTTATTCTGGATGAGACTGACGATGCAGATGGACTACTTTGGTCACCTGATGGTCGTTACCTGGCCGTATATGACTCTTGCCTTAAGTATCGCCTGCTTGTTTACTCTATAGATGGTCGAAAGCTGGCTTCCTATTCAGCATTTCCAGAAGAAAATCAATCGCTCGGTATAAAAACTGTAAACTGGTCTCCAACGGGTCAGCTTTTGGCCATTGGAAGGTATCGAACTTGCATGTTTTTACTTTTTTTACTTAGACTCAGTTCTAATCGTTCCTTTTTTTACTATAGTTAATCATTATTCACTTGCATACTTCAATTGGTGGCCAGACAGTACATTAAGAACTTTAGCATTGGTTTTGAGATTATTCGTTTAATGATTATTGTAGTCAGCTTGCATGAAGATTAAGATTATATTTAGTATCAGCCTAAACTCACAATTTGGCATAATATCTATTCCAAATCGAGTCGGTTATTTTAATAGATTGTACTACATCTTACAATCGAAAGGGGACTTCTCCTCCATCAGCTTTATCTTCATTTTTGCCATTTTTCCATTTGAAGAGAATTTACATAACTTAGACTTTACTAAATGGCTTGTTTAGTTTAATGCCTATTACTAGTCTGGATATTTAAAATAGCCTCTGATTATTATACTCCCTTATACTCTTACAGGGATTCACAACCAAATCAGCACAAAAACTTTACTGCTCACATAAATACAATTTTATTACTACTTTCTTAACTTCACATAACCTGTTCAATCTTGATTTGCCTAACCAGAAATATATTAAGTCTCGGGGTTCCAGCATGACCTATCCAACTAGTAAAGTAGGGATTTCCTACCTTTAGCTTCTTTTGATGGGCGAAAGGGTTTCGGTTTGGGGTTTGTATTTGTCTAATGGAGTCTTCAGTACTCTGACGTATTCTTCAAATAAATCCGGTCACCACTTCAAAGCAATCCCCTCTTGGTTTCGGGTAGGACAGATTTATTAACCCGCTTTAGCCAATCAGCCAAACTAAATGAATGTATAGAAACATTAATTGT